CAAGAATGGTGACCGGCTTTTTGTTCTTTATGATAAATATAGTCATTGCGATCGAAATTTTAGATAAACCTGGATATAGAAAGTTTTTGGTTAATTAACGCATAATCGAGTGTGTATATGTGTTAGCGCCTATACTCAAAACCTATCATAACTTTGAGTAATTAGAAAAAGACTTAATGTCAGCTCCGGGTCGTCAAGGCTCAATGAACCACGGAAGAAGGGATGACTGAGATCGCGTTAGTCCGTAAGTAATCCTGGTTAAGTTGATGGGATGTAAGTCTGTACACGTGAAAGCCAGGTTACGAAACCACCAGTCCGAATCCGTTAGTTTAGGCTATAAAGGTTTAATGACTCAAGGAGAAGCATGGCTGGGATTGTGTAGACCTGCACGTCTGTTTTGGCTGATGAGCTTGACATGCTGTTCAACGAATCTCTTCATCGTGTACATTTATGCGATGACAACAAAACGAAATGGAAGCTTAGGTTAGCCATTGAAATTTGTGGGGAGGAAGATTTAAGTTAGGGATACCTTCGCCTACTGCTTAAGCAACCTCGGAGAAAACAATGATACGACAGCAATGTTGGTATACAGAGATTTAATATTCCTGTAGATGATGCCACACAGGCTCTACAATCCACACTAGACCAGCACCCGGAGACTTTAAGCAGTACGAAGTTAGGTTGAGTATCGAAAAGGGTACCTACCAACTTGGCGATACACTGTACATATTTTACCCTTAATGGTAAACTGTATGAAGAAACACGATATTTAGCCATGGGATCGTGCTTGTTTAGCAACTAATTACATGACTTAGTTTGAGGAATGCCCAATTCAAGAGACACTTTTAGTCACTAAACTATTATTTTTCGAATTAAGTATTGTTTTTCGTGACTACCAGTAAATCGGTAATATGATATGTATTTATCCAATTTCGTTTGAGGTGATGAAGGACTGGTAGAAGAAGAATTTTCCCACAATTATATGAGTTGAGCTGACGTTTTCATTGAATTTCACATTCCCTTGCTTTCACAAAAGTTGTTCTCATCCAGAGCGGACTGCAGCTTCAACCTCGCATCCGTTTTATCAACACCCTTGGCGGGAGTCGAACTGCGACAGTGCAGGATGGGAACTCGACACACAAACCACTCGGCTACACTGCCACGAGCGCCTTTTGAGTCACAGGGTGAATACCTCTCATATTACTAAATTATCAGTTCGTCCTGTGGAAGGCTATTTTGCCGTGTGTTTGATGAACAGGATGGATGGTAAGACGATATTCACCATCGAGTTAGAGAAGGAAGATGGTTTAACTTTTCTGGATGTCCTAGTTAGCACATATAGGACCAATTTAGGTAGATTTGTGAGTAGGAAGCTCACAAATGCAGGTTTTCTTTTGATTTATTTTCCAACCACACGTATGGGGTTAAAGTAGGAGTTATGAAGTCTATGATAATAAGGAGTCTGCATCTGACAGATGTTAATCATCGGAGTCAGGAAAAGAGAAAACTAAGGAGAATTCTTATTAAAAATAATTATCAACGAGGTCTAATTGAAAATTTTATCAGAATTTTTGTGAGGCTTAAAGTAATAATAGCACTGGTAGTTGAATTTTACCAGAAGAATATTTGTACACCTCATGCTTACATTGAAGTTCGCATAGCCTTGCTCCTCCAAAGGTGGTCTCATCAAGGATGGACTGCAGTTTGGACCTTATCAACACTCACAGCGGTCTACTCACATCATTGCGGGAAATTCCAACTACCAGTCATTCATCAGCTTAGACGAAATTTAGTAAACACATCGGGGTTGCATGGCTGTCTGCCGAGGACTTATTCACACAAATCCACTCATAACTCCAAGGCAATTCTCCTTCAGCTTCCGATGATGTCAACTTACAAAACCCTTCCACTCCCCTCTTCAGATCAAATGAAAGGTACTCCAACATCAATCTATTAAGGGAGTCTTCGAAACCCATTTTATCTACATGATCTCTGCTTTCATCAAAATAGGTTAGGCAATGTTCCCACGTTTGATAGACAGGACCGAATTAGAGGACTTTTCTTTCATGGCTGGTTCGATAGAGAAGAGATAATAAAAGAAATGGTTTGGCTGCATAATTTTATAAAGTGGGATTTGAGATATCGGTCTAACCACAACTATTTAGAAGATGGCACATAAGAATAAGGGGTTGTAAATAAGTACAGATTCTTATGGCTTAAAAGAATTGGTCTTATCTTGTTTCTCAACTTGCTTGTGAATTCTGGGAGACCTTAAATAAAGTACTCTGAGTAATAGTGATTATTTTTTATATGGGACCGGTGACTTGGTACACTTCTTAACTATAACAACGACAAAGTTGAAAAAATACAGGCCGACCAATTCGATGTAGCTTTAGTAGACTGCAACCAAATTGGAGGTCACACCCTCGGGACCTTTAAAACTTGCATAACTTGAGTATAAATATAATTTAACTAGAGGGAATAACAATTACCAATCAAACTCATTTTTGATTATATTGGATTTTGAGGTCCTTAGTAATTCATGAATAAGAACTTAGTCACCGTTTAGGGCGATTTCAGGACTTATCGGCTTGCAGTGGTCCTCCAAAATGTTTGTGTGTTTGGTCTAGTATGCTCATCAGATTCACTATCGGTACTATTGGCTAAAAGAATGCCAAAGGGAATGAGACGCAAGCCCTGTTACCGTAAGGTCTGAAGATGCCTTCTTTGCTCCATCCATCGTATCCTGGGTAATAATTCAGTCCCATTGACCGAAAACGATCTAAAATGGATCTTTCAAAATTTAACAGCGACTTTTGAATGCTGATAGGCTCTCTGTGGATTCGGCAACCTGAAAATAAGTGAAAAATGTCAATGGATAAATTTCATCGGATTTGAAAGTTGGTCTAACTGAAAAGGTATTTACAAGTTATCTTTCCACTAAGTTAGGTTTCGTTGACTAAATCTGAGATTCTCTGTTGATGGTGTGTAAGAATGAGGCATTAGTATGCGGGCATTTCTCGTCCGTTAGGTCAGAGGCAGTTTCAATCTTAAATTCACATCATTTCTACACCTCCTCGAGTGGAAGTTTGAGCTAGTCTACTTGCTTGGCTGTCATAGCCGGAGTAATTCTTGAATGAGTACTTAGTTCCTTAAGTTGACTTAAGGACTGATACAAGTAGGCCTCAAGATTTCTTGAATTTTACCTAAACTTGCCTCCAAGACGGCTTCTCAACTTGGCTGGATCACAGTTACCACCTCGCAACCCCTTAATTGATATTCGAAAGCGGATCTTGTGATTCCACCTCGCTAAACAGCCACTGGTGACAATAGATCACAAGGTAGACGTGAATTTCAGGGCATGCCAGACTTCGCTTACTTCCGTTTCGAGTGAAAGTGTTTGGTGAAGAGATTCCAAGGTCGATTCCACCAGGAGACGACGGCGGATTGCTCTTGGCTTTACTGGAAGATTCATGCTGATGCTGTTTCCGAGGCAATATACTTCGATTCCGGTGAAAAGATGGTAAGCTTTCGTCCGTCATATGACAGACATCATCAGAGCGAGGTAACATCGTCACAACAAAATTCCAGCTAACGAGTCAAGAATACTCACCGGCAAATCCCTAAAAAGTTAAATATGACCATAACTAAACAAATCACTTTATACTTGATCAAAGAGACCAGATGTAGAGTATATATACCGCTTTTTAGGGCTTTGTCAGTGAGTCTTCTTCACTCGTTAGCTTGAATTTGGTTGTGACGATGATACCTTGCCTTGATGATATTCGTCATATGACGGACGAAAGCTTAGCACCTTTTCACCGGACTCGAAGGAGAGTATCTTTGAAACAGCATCAGCATGAATGTTCCAGTTAAGCGAATTGATAGCTGGTCAAGAGGAATCCGCCGTCGTCTCCTGGTGTAATCGACCTTCGAATCTCTTCACCAAACACTTTCACTCGAAATAGAAGTAAGTACAACTATTATGAACCAAGAGATTCCTCGAAACCCAGATTTTATTCGCATATATTCGCTCAGATCACTGTATTCTAGGAATGCGGTTAGGTTGAACTAGAAGATGACATTATAATCAGTGACTATCCTTATTTTTAAGGAGATGTAGTTGGATACACCTCGGCTGAAGTCCTCTGGCAAAGAAGATTTTATTATTTTCATCGTCGGACCTCCGTGCTCAAAAAATAGACAAAGTTATCGCAGATACGAAGAGTAACTTGGTTTCGATGAATCCCCTGAGATACCATTGTTGAAGAAGTTTCATTGTCAACGTCAGACAGTATAGCTACTTTCAGCAGCAAGCTAGAACTCGTCAAAGAGACCAATGAAGTCAACCTCTCAACCAACGATAATGCTATCAGTCCTCTTTTTGTCCTGGCCCATCTATATACTCCTTACGCTCTTATCTCATTCTCGTCCTATCACAACCTGTTTATATGCTACACCATTTGAGAGGAATGTCCTTTTTCGCGAGTTTAGTGTGACGTCATCACACCTGCTGATTACCAGCCTCCACTGATCCGATTCGGGCCTCCTATCCGGATCTGCCTCATGGGCAGGTAGCTCCGTTTTCCTATCCTTCTGGTCGACTAGTCTCACTCGGCTAAAATACCTAAATTCTCTTATTATCCGTCGCCCTAGTCACGTTTATGTCAGTCCTCCAAAGTTCTAATTCTTTCTTTAAGCAGAAAACATACACTGAGAACGTCTTCGCTTCATTTTCGAAACTTCCCAAAACTCTTCCTCCTCGCGATGCCTTTTTTTCTGGTTGAAGATAGGTCTTTGATTAAGGCGTCTAATATTTGCTAGTCTTGATGTAATCAATTTTGGATCTGAGTTTGCTCAAAAAATAGACAAAGTTATCGCAGATACGAAGAGTAACTTGGGTTCGATGAATCTCCTTAGATACCATTGCTGAAGAGATCTTTATTTTATATGAAAGTTCATGTAGTAGAAATTAGTAGGTTGATCTCTCCAGAAGACGACGGCTTAATTCCTTTGTAATGAGATGTATTCACCCTATTTCGTGTAAGGTGATGAAGGACTGGTAGTAGAATTTTCCCACA